TAAGAAACAAATATGGCGTCATCCTCGTCATTCGACGATCGAGTCAGAATTAACCATCGGAAATCTGGATAAACTACTGGGATAATTGCTATCATTATCAAAAGAACAGTCTAATATACTGAAAATCAGTGTCTAACTGTGACTTAGCATTTAATAAGTTTTGGCAACTTTGGAGATATAAATTTCGATACAATTTTGAGAGGGCACGAGGCCTAGCCAAGCAGGATCAGTAGCTATATCTGTGCTTGTAGACCTCTGTGGCTTGAAACCTTCTCCACAAATTAAAATAGTTGGATTTTGCCGAAATATGTTTGAATTGTTGCCTTGTTTTGTTTTGTCGCTGTGTGTACATCTGACTACACTACTTAACGTTATAACAGGACAGACCGACTGTCAACAATGTCTGACCGTGGCCGTGACATCTCGTAGACTAGGGTTAGAGTAGCTCCCTTTTGACAAAGGGCAGTTACTCTAGCGGACAGACCGATGGATTGCTGCGGAAGGCAATTAAAAACAACTGTTGTTTGGCTTCGCCACTGTATAAGAAACAGATTTCAGTTGGAACTATATTGGCTACTGTCACTGTCCGACTGACACATCATTTATCCTGTGATGAAATAAATATTAATGCGCGCATTCCAGGAAAACTCGCAATGTTTCGGTAATGTTTGTGAGAGAGGGAAAGCGATTTTCAAGCAAAGAATTAAAGAATGACATTATATGATAAAGAGGTTATCACGCGAGTGTGTTTGGGGAGGGTAAATAACCTGTATTAGGAATAAACACTATGTATTTCGCTCGCCTTGGAATGTTTATTCCTAATGCAGGATATTTACCCTCCCCAAACACAATCGCGTGATAACCTCTATATATACACACACAGATCTTGAATCAATGAAAACATGACAGGGACAATTACTATTGAAGATGGAAATAAGATACAAACATAAAATATAACTAGAGTTGATTGGCATAGTGAGCGAGTGCATTTTGGACCGTCTGTTCCAGATTAGTCTACAGAGCTCTCTATAGTAGTCTTACGGAATTCATTAAGTAGGCTATTCCAGACTTGAGCGGCCTCATATGCATTAGAGTTAAGGCCAGCTTTTGATTTGATGTCCACACCAAGACTCATAACACTGTCACTGCAAGTGATATTTGTTCTTCCAGTATTGAAATTTTGAAGATATGAGAATTTAGCTTCCTCAGGTTATAATCAGGGAAAAATACATTCTCATTAAAATGAGATCTTAGTCCTCGCTACCGCTACACAAAAATCTGAGGACATCCCATTACAGGTCAGAACAACCTATTGGTATCTTTGATCAACCAATGAAATGATAGAAGGCTGGTTTGCAGACTGACAAGGTTTCGCTGAATATCATTTAATACAATGTAGCTCTAGCACTGTGGTAACAAGGTTTCATTCGTTAAGACCATGACTTTGATTGATTGGTTAAAAATTGCAGAGACACTGTTTATGACCTGGTTGTAAATCATGTGTTCACAGATGATGGAGGAACAGTGTATACAAACGAGGGGAGTGTTGTGTCTACGGACAAAGTCTGAATGTCTCTGCTATAATGTATTACTACAGTATTTTTCATTTATCCAGCAAAATGTTCCTTAACTTCTATCAGATACAATCCTTGTTGCTGTCATAGCGATGGTCATCTACACAAGCTATCTCTTCCTGCCTGGACACGCCGTTATGATCATCCACTTCCTGTTGCGACTCTTCGGGGTGTCGTCTGACGAGGAGGAAACTATGGCACAGGCAACATCGTGACATGGGACTTGTTTGTGTACAAATGTTTTTAGGATGGATGGGTGCAAAGATGGATGGACGTTGGTGGAAATGAAATGATTGCTTTCCGCAGTTGAACGCATCATGGTACAGGTGTAATGGCTCAATCTTCCACAGCTGAATAATAGGAATACAGGACTGGCAGTTTATGCAAGCAATGAGCAGATGAGAAGTACAATGACTGTTTGAAATGATGTTGACGATTTATGATTTGCCAATACAGTGTAACCCTGTTACTGCATTATCGCATTTCCATGACTAACATGATTAACAAATATTGAAAAGAATGATACATGGTTTTAGAGTATAATTCCTTGTATATATATATATGTTACAGTTCCATGGTTTTAGAGTGTAATGCCTTGTATATAAATGTAACTGTTCCATGGTTTTAGAGTGTAATGCCTTGTTTATATATGTAACTGTTCCCAGTTGTTCCTGGACCACCCAGTAGAGACAAGGGTTCAGGGCTGACAGGGTTATACTGTATCAAGCAATTTTGTGTGATTAACATTGGTTTGGAAACTATTTTTACTTTAAAAATATACTTTTAACAGGAAATCAGGAGACAAAATAGCCTCTGTTCTATATTCTGTTTGAAAATGATGTAAACAAATGGTAAATGAGGTATGGATTTCATAGGCGGACCCAGAGGGTCCAGACCCCACCCCCCCTTTTTGAAAACCAAATGTAGCACGTTGTAGGCAGTAGTAGTATGATGTAGACAGAGAGGATTTTGATATTTTGGACCCCTCCCTTTTAAGCATGCTGGAACCGCCCTTGGATTTGTGCTCTTGTTAAAATGGTGTACATACAAGTGTTACCTGTATGTACTTCCCTGTCCATGTTCACAACATGTGTACACATCTCTACCAATGTTACTTTGGGCTGATAATAATAAGAGGCGAAGAGAATGACAGATGAAGATATATGTGTAAGTCGATGTACATATTAATTGCCTGTCCTGTGATTCTGTTCATAAACATGATTTCTGGGTCATTTGATTTACACCTCTCAATAATTTTATACAACATTTGATGCCCTACTGTTCTTTTTAGGCTCTGATTGTTTTAGGAAAAAAAACGCTACGTAAGGGAAAAAACAGACATCTTAAGTCAAAACCTGTAGGTGAACAGAAATTAATTTAAAGTTCTGTACATTCTTTCTTTTATTTAGGAGTTTTGGCTCTGATGTGTTGATCCATATATGGAAGACACTGTACAATAATAAGGAGTCCAGTGTGAATAGTTGGTATGCTAGCACATGACCAGCTTCCATCGGTTTCCTCTGTGGTGCACCGATAAGAGGAGTGAGTCAGTATGGTTTTACGCTGCTTTTAGCAATATTCCAGCAACATCACGGCGGGGGACACCAGAAATGGGACCGATCAGGGGACATGTAAAATAGCGAATGTTCAGTGGAGAAAATTAAATGTATCTTTTGCCAAAACAGCATGTTATTGTTATGGCCTCACAGACATCCCCTTATGTTTTATATGATGGCTTGTGATCTCTGCTGTTTTATATATTATGAACATAAAGAATAAGTTTATTAATTATTTAATCTATCCAGCAATGGATATCAGTATATACAATATGATACAACTGATGTATTACAAGCCATGTTAAAAAACAACCCCAATTTAAAAGAAAATAGATACAAGTATTCTGAAGTTGAAACCTAGTTAAACATGTTGAAGTGGAATGAGAATGCTCATCCTCAAAATGTTCTCTTTATGCTCTGTTTTTTAAATATAGTTTAATTTATTACTTTATATAAGATTTTCAGGTTTGTTTGTCCATCAGTCGACCTTCAGCATGACACCATTGATTTGATTCCTTATAAAGCAGCAGAAAAAGAACTTCTTTTAGTTTAAATATATGATGTATATTGTCATGAATTTCTGCTTTCTTTATTGAATACCTGTGCCAGGTAGACATATTAAGATGTTGTTGTTTGTTTTGCTTCACTTATGTATTAACAACTGATAATCAAACTCAATCGTTAATTTTAATGTAATAATTCATATATGGTTAAGTGATGTATGGTCTAATGTGTTCAAAACGTCTCTTTCATGTCATTGTATGTCTGTTATTTGTAATAAACTGGACATGTAATCATAATTGTGTGCTCGTTTGTCTCCCATCAATGAGTGTTCGGCTTAACACTACTTTGAACACAAAATGTCTGCTTATGTGGGAGGGAGGCCAGTATTATTTTATACATTTGCTACATTGGTGTGATGATGGTACACATTGGTCAGTATTGGGGCGAGTCTGTAATCCAAGCTATTCCTCAGTGCTAGCACAAAGTTACACAGGTTTTAAAACATTCAAGTAAGTTTAACAGTTAGTCATCCAATTAAGGTTACCATATACTCTGCAGCAGCCATTGTGTGTACCATAGTCTACAACAAGCATTGGGTATTTCTGCTTTGTAAAACCCATTGGATGATACTGACAGTAGGAGCAGACGAGAAGCTGTACATGCCACCTCCCTTCTCAGCAGCTGTCTCACTATCCTCAGTCGTTTTCAACAGGCATGAAGTACCAGGAACCTATTCTGCCTGCAAAATCCACAGGATAAGGAATCCAGGACTACCGGTACTTTTCTTCAGGGAGTGATCAAACTTATGCCCTCTGTAACATTTCAGTCAAATTGCAGCATATCAGGAGTGGGAGTACAACAGTGTTGCAGGTGGTAGACACTAAACATCTTGTTGAAAACCAACAGGTAACAACATACACTGTGTGATACTGACCAAGGATTAGAATCTGAGCATCGAGCCAATGATTCTGAGGAGCTTGACTTATCTAAGGGAAGTAACTCTGCATAATGCATTTCATTGTCTTCGGCCACTACGCCACACTTGCCTATGGTCTAGGATTAAGTCATTTCAGATTACCAGCAATTCCACAAAGAAACCTAGCCGTGAAGATCCGTGTCTTCAGCAACCCATGCTTGCAGTAAAAAGCTACTACACTCATCGTAAGAGGCGACTAACGGGATCGGGTGGACAGGCTCACTGGACTTGGTTGATGCATGTCATTGTATCCCAATTTCGTAGATCAATGCTGATGATGTAGTGACTGGATTGTCTGGTCCAGACTCAAATATTTACAGACCGCTGTCATGTAGCTGGAATATTGCTGAGTGCAGTGTTAAGCAACAAACGAACACAAAGAAACCACAATACTGATGATGATTTTATTTGATCACATGGACCAAGTTGAAAATATAGTATACACATAACAATGCAATGCAAAACTCACATGAAAAAAAAAAGGAAGAACATCATGAATGTTAGCTTCTTAACATTAACATCACTCTTAAATTCCTTGCATACAGATCAGTTCATAGTCAAATGGCTTCCTTAACAAAGATGTGCTGCTGATTAATTACTTTTCCGTAACTGTCTTCTTAACATACAGTACTGATTCAGCTTTAATGTCTGTACTATTTAAACACTCCTGAAGTTCTTGCAGCACATGTTGACAATATGGTAAAGTGTGAGTCCTCCTTGAAGTCCAGTAACATCACATGCAGCTGGCCTTGACTGATGTTGACCATTATGATGGACGTGAGTCTATGAAAATGTCTATGTGAGAACCCCGGATCATGTTACTATAACTCTTCATCATCAGAATCATCAGACTCCTCAAGTGCTTCCTGTTAAAGAAAGAAACATAAGTAAATGAGTCGACCATGTGTGCACGGAGTACATAAAAAAAATAAGAGAATAGGTTCTCAGGCAATTACTTTTGAAAATAAAGTGTGTGTGTGTGTGTGTGTGTTGGGGGGGGGGGGGGTTTGCTTGTTCAAACTGGTATGTACCCAAATAACAGTTGCATACCATCAACCTCGGAAATGGCATATGTAAAGGGAAGTAACTGTGTGCTCTATTGGATCGCATTGTTTTTAAGGATTAGGATTTTTTTTTTTTTTTTAAACAAAACATGCGACAGACTTTATGATGATGCGGGCGCTGCCTGAGAACCAACACTATTATAATTTAAATTATTTTTAGCCTAATATAACAGTGAGTGAGCAATGTTTCATATAGAGCAGGCAGCAATATTCCAGCTTCATCATTGCAGACTTTAAACAATTGAGTCTGGACAAACTGGTGACTGAAAATATCAGCCACATTCCAGGCCATGTGGTCACAATGACATGCAATCCACCCATTCACAGAGCCTGACCACCCAATTCCTTTTTGGTAACATTCATCCTATGACAGATTCTAAACATTCAACTCACAGACCAAGGTTGAAAAAAGTGAATTACAATTGTTACAGATGTGTACCAATCATGAAAGGGTAGAGAGAATCAAAATTCAAAAACAACTGAAAATACCTTGTACCCCATGTACCCTGCAGAAGTTTCACATACATGATGCCACAAGAAAATGTTACAATTTGCCGGGCACCCTTCAATGAACCTGAGATTCCATGCACTGTATGCTTATCACTTTACCTCCTTACAGCATGTACAGTGAGTGAGTAATTGTTGCTTTAAGCCGCATCAGCAATATTCCAGCTATTCGCGGCTATTACTTCACAGATTAAATGGCTTGAAATACAGTTCACTCAAAGACAATGTTTAACACTACACTTTGTAATATACAGCTATGGTCGACCCACAAATAATCAAGTCTGGACCAGACAAGAGCCCCGATTGATTTTATGAGCAAAGCCTGACGCTGTTGGGTACAATGACACACAATCAAGTTGCCTGAAAACATATGTTGTTGGGAACCTCTCTGAAAAAGAGATGCAGATTAATGAGATTCTCCACCAGATCTGCAATCATACCATACCTTCGCATACTTCTCTGCCTCTGTGAAAACCTCTCGTGGTACAAGCTCATGTTTTCCACCAGTACCTGAAGAGAACAGTCATCCTTATTATTGTTGTTATAGTATTGCTACATAATCACAATTACCTCAAGCAACCATCTCACACACATTCTAAGCACTGCTTAATCCCAAGCTAAGGTTTACACTATCGTGCTATTTTTAGCACCCTGGGGTTTTCTAGTCATAACCTGATGCTTCTAGTCAAAATACTTAACCAAAAAAACATAAAGATACTCTGCTTTAAACTTGAATAAATGGTTTGCTTTGCAAGACATCTTCAGTTATTACACTGGTGTTGTGCTGAAGGGGGTTCCGTCAGGACATGTTCAGGTCACAATGTACTTAATAGCTCTTCCAGCCTATTGGTATGCTCAATGATTATCCTTATTGAAGTGAGGGCAATGTGCCTCTACATACCTTCTCCGACCCAACTGAGCTCAAGTTCAAAAGCCTTGTCTTTCACTTCATCATGAACAATATAAATTCTGAAAAATGAAAATATTCTAAGTAAATCTATGTTTTATTAATGCTCCTTATTGCTTTTTTTAATTACAACCATACTTATTTTATAACCACAAACACTGGTACGATACTGACAAAGCAAAGATGGTACTCAGGTAAATCTTGGACACAACTCAGAGATGAGCAGTTGCTCACATGGCCAAGGGATGCAACTCTGCAAAGAACACTGCCGACACTCAGACCACTTGGGATCCAAATTGTTATGAGTGAGTGAGTGAGTATAGTTTGACACCGCTTTAACATGTTTAAGCAATATTCCAATAATATCATGACGGGGACACCAGAAATGGGCTTCACACATTGTACCCATGTCTGAAATCGGACAAATTGTTATGAAGAAATGGGTTTTTCAGATTAAAAACGATGTTTTATTGGTCTGTTTTCAGTCGTACAATTGGGTATCTCATACCTCTAGTCGCACGTTAAAAGGAAGCCAGAAGCTGGAATGTAAACAATAAACTTGTTTCCGTCCGGTTGCGCACGCACCTCCCGATGACATGCCACAAATCTCGAAGAATAAGCCATCAAGCAGGACTGGACTGGATTACTTCCCAGTGGGGATGGCTGGGTGGGAACGTACGACTGAAAACAGACCAATAAAACATCGTTTTTAATCTGAAAAACCCATGTTTTAGTCTGTTTTCAGTCGTACAATTGGGTAGAATTCGACGGAACACTGGAAGGAGGGTCTGGAAAGTAATCCGGAAGGGACCTCTTGCACGTCGAATGTACCAAGTTCCTCACCCCTGTAGAGACAATAGAACATTCGACCAGATGCACGGACGAGACAAATTGTTTATTACGAACGCACAGCATGGTTAATGCTCATCGACACACAACTAATTATCGATGCGACAGGACAACTGCACGCGTCAGTTGAACGGCGATCGAAGTGGTCGACGTATAGTTTAGTTACAGAGCAACTCGCAGTTTACAAGGTAACTAAACAGCATGTTTAATGCTCTTCGACCCACAAGTAAGTATCGATGCGACAAGGCAACTGCACACGACAGTTGAATTGCAATCGAAGTGTGGATGGCATATAATTTAGTTCCAGAACGACTCGTCGTATCCAAGGTAACTAAAACTGCATGTTTAATGCTCTTCGACCCACAAGTAAGTATCGATGCGACAGGACAACTGCACACGTCAGTTGAGGTGCGATCGAAACGTGGTCGGCTTATAATGTAGTTACAGAACGACTCGTCGTAGGCAAGGTAACTAAAACAGCATGTTTAATGCTCTTCGACACACTACTAATTATCGATGCGACAGGACAACTGCACGCGTCAGTTTAACTGCGATCGAAGCGGTCGACGTATAGTTTAGTTACAGAGCAACTCGCAGTATACAAGGTAACTAAAACAGCATGTTTAATGCTCTTCGACCCACAAGTAACTATCGAAGCGACAGGACAACTGCACACGACAGTTGAATTGCGATCGAAGTGTGGACGGTATATAAAGTGGTTCAGAACGACTCGTCGTATCCAAGGTAACGAAAAATAGTATGGTTAATGCTCTTCGACACACAACAAATTATCGATGCGACATGACAACTGCACACGTCAGATGAATTGCGATCGAAGTGTGGTCGGCGCAGAATTTAGTTACAGAGCAACTCGCAGTATACAAGGTAACTAAAAAATACGAGCAGTACTTCTAGTCGGAGACAATGTCGAAGGCGACCTGATCGAGAGGCTCGTAAGTCTAACTAGACAGGTAGCGCAGAACCTGTCAACCATGAAGGCACGTAGAATTTTCTGCAATTCCGGTATTTTAGTGAGCCTGTCGCCCGTAGGAGACGGCTCGTCTAGGTAGAAGGCGACCCTGATCGCCTGCCGACGGAGCCATTCTACGACCGTCTTCATGATCCGTGTGATGAAGTCTTCCCCCTACCGGTAGCTCGTCTAAAGGTAGTAGGCTCCGACGATGGTGACGGCGGGGAAAAGGGACCTCACTACCTCCCCCGCCGGCTCGCTGTCGACAGCATAGCAAGCGGTTGTAGCTGGAGACGAACAGCAGTGTCCATGGATCCCCAATGCCTGTCTACTCAAGAATCTTGGAGGGCGCTGGTTTCTTGAAGAGTAGCCCCCAATCCAAGTCCCTACTCATGGGTGACGAAAACGGCATGCCATAGATCGGGTAACGCGATCGAACAGGTGGTTTGCTGAAACTCTGCCCCGGCAGAGCAGAGGCAAGTTCTGGTCCATATCGTGAACCATGGCTCTTAAGACATTGGGAGGGGAGACTGAAGAGACTGCGGCGTATCTCCAACCTTTAAGCCAGCACACGTCGGTTTGTCATCGTCATGATAACTCAGGCAGAAAAGTGAGATAGCCAAGCCATAGCCAGGCTGTCGTCACAATCCATCGTCGACGTCGATTGTGTAGATGTAGATGAAGGTACTGGTGTATTGGTCGATGGTCCATGGACCTCTGACGTAGTCGAATCCTTCTTGGTCGACGCCCTGGAGGTGAGTACCGCCGTCGTGATCTGGGCTATCAAAGCTGGGGCGATATGAAAGTGAGACGAGGGTGTCGATCGGTCATTATCTCTACGACGCTGTCGTCACAATCCATCGTCGACATCGATTGTGTAGGCGTAGATGAAGGAACCGGTGTACAGGCCGATGGACCATGGACCTCCGACGTAGACGAACCCTTCTCGGTCGACGCCGTCAAGGCGAGTACCGCCGCCGTCATCTGGCCTATCAAAGCCGGGTCGATATGAAAGTGAGACGAGGGTCACGATCGATCATTATCTCTACGACGCTGTCGTCACAATCCATCGTCGACGTCGATTGTGTAGGCGTAGATGAAGGAACCGGTGTACAGGACGATGGTCCATGGACCTCCGACGTAGACGAACCCTTCTCGGTCGACGCCGTCAAGGCGAGTACCGCCGCCGTCATCTGGCCTATCAAAGCCGGGTTGATATGAAAGTGAGACGAGGGTCACGATCGATCATTATCTCTACGACGCTGATCTCCCAAAAACTCCCTTCGAAGGCGTCGCACGTCCCCGTGGGGACGAGGGCTACGATCTCTAACTGTAGAAGTACTACGAACCCCATCGTAGTTATCGTCCGAATCGAACTCCCGACGACCTCGAAGGCGACGAACGTCCTCGTGTCGTTTACTGTCACTCGACGAGGCCCTCGACCTGTCGTCCCGTGAACGGGAACGACTTCTAGAGAGGGATCTGTGTTCACTGTCGACCCGCACGACGTTCCTATCGTCGTTGGTAGGACGAGAGACGGACCGACTGGGGACCGTAGTCCCCTCGTGGTCCTCGTCACCACCCGGTCCCGTCGTAACGGGGGTGGCTGAGTGACGCTCTCGATCAACCGATTGACGAAGATCAGTCGTGCGGGTAGTATCATCAGCAGGCGAACGGTCCCGTGTCTTGTCAAAAACATAAGTTGACTGAGGCGGGTCTTTTTCAACTGATTTCTTGGGTGTGGCCGACGCACCACCCCCAGGGCCAGATGTAGGGGGTGCAGAGTCCAAGGATCCACCAGATGACCTCCTCTGCCTGTAGCGCTGGTCAGTAGCCCGCTTCGCCAACGCACGAAGATACAAGTTAAAGTTGATAGAAGACAAATGCTCACATTCTTAACAACGTTTATTCCACGAACACGTTGAAAACCCGTCCTTATTTATGCAGGAAGGACAATACTTGTGAGGATCTACTTTAGACAGTTGTCCTTGACACGAGGCACAAATGCCCGACATTTTGCCACGTGTATAATCAAGTGAAACACGTGTTGAACCCAAACAATGGATTACCAATGATTACATTCCAGGAGTCTACAGGTAAGACATAGTATTATTACTGTATTAGAACAACAACTGTAGACACACGATAAGTACTAGTAGAATACAAACTAGCAGTCTATCGCGAAAGTCCTTCTCGAGCGACCAGCTCAGAGGCGCGCTGAGAGATTTGTGGCATGTCATCGGGAGGTGCGTGCGCAACCGGACCGAAACAAGTTTATTGTTTACATTCCAGCTTCTGGCTTCCTTTTAACGTGCGACTAGAGGTATGAGATACCCAATTGTACGACTGAAAACAGACTAAAACATAGTTATATCTGCACAAATCTGACATAATACACTTGGATATCAAGCCATAACAGGAACAATACTCACATTTTTGCTACTTCTTTCACAAGTTCCTGCATGGTCATATCTTTCATCTGAAACAAAATATCATACATATTAGGCTACATATTCATACCCAGTGCAAAGTATATTAAGTAAGCACAAATTCTTTTCTCAACAAGGAGACCTTTTTGTATTATTTATTGAAAATACAAGACCAGAGAACCAACCTTCAGTTTTTCTATTTCAGTCTTGGCATTCTGTTTTGCCTTTCCAACAGCACAGCCATGGTAACCCTGGAAACGAAAAAATAATCTTTAAACTTGGATCTCTGTTTGGCCAGTTAAGTGGAAACTATCCGTTGGTCTCAGTAACCAATAAGGGATCCTAAATATAATTTCCCTTTAAATGAAAACTGAAAAAACCCACAAAAAATACTGAAAAGAAGAATGTTGTTTTCTTGTGATTTTCAACAGCTGGCAAGGCTGTTGCAGATGGAAGATTATCTATGACCAGGTTGAGTGAGTGAGTTGGGCTGAAGAATATTTAAGGTGTGTTACTTCCTGCCAGCCTCATGTTCGAGGAAAGCCCAAACTATGTGTGTCTGTTCACCATCAGAATACAATGAGACTCAGTCCGCCCAGTCAAACAGCCTGACCAACCAAACCCCAAGTTAACAAGCTCTTAAGATGATCATGAGGTACTGTGACAAAACCACACAGGGGCAGCCTGGTTGAAATAGACCGAGATATATCAAAACTATGTACTTACCCATGATACACCTGAAGGATCTATCAGGTACATCTGAGGACCATCTGCTTCAAAGGAGCCGAGGATGGCGCCAACGCCGAATGGCCTGATCGAGCTGTATAGTGTGTAGGCATGGACGTACATGGACACTCGGTCTGTCAGGTGCTGCAACAAAACAAACAGTTGGATAGGACAGCTTCTTTCTTTGCCAAGAACTAATTGTACTAATCAAGAAAGTGTAATTCAGCAAGCATCTAAAGTTACACCAGAGTGCAAATAAAGAATCGGCCAAGACCATTTAGTTTCATCATCTCATGCTAAGTATCGATAGATATTTCTGAGCAACTAGACACCAAGTTTGATGTTATAACTTATATGCACATAGATTAAGTGTTCAAGTAATGTTTTACACCAGTCTGCAATCTCAAAGCAATATCACCGTGACATGTTAGTAACCAACTCTGAATAAGTGTGTTTGTTTGTTTAACGCTGCACTCTGCAATATTCCAGCTATATCGTATATGACGGCAGTCTGTAAATAATCGAGTCTGAACAAGACAATCCAGTGATTGACATGAGCATCGATCCATGTAATAGGGATACGAGGACATGCATCAACCAAGTCAGCGAGCCTGACCACCCAATCCCGTTAGTCGCCTCTTACGACAAGCATAGTAGCTTTAACTGCATGTATGGTTTGCTGAAGACCTATTCTACCCGGATCTTCACAGGTCTCTGAATAAGTGGCTGATAGCATAAGCACCAATCCAAGATGCATGGTGAGTGAGTGAGTTGGGTTAAATGCTGCTTTGAACAGTATTCCTATTATATCACAGTTTGATGTGGGAGGAAAACCCTAAGTGATGGATGCACTGGTGCTGACGAACCTAGAAACATAATCAGTGATATGAACAGGATCCTGAACAGCGAATTGTGGCCATCCATGCCCCCACCCCCCAACAATGATGCAGGGGTTGTGATATGATAATATGACACAAAAGTATCCATTCTTCACTTATACATGAAACAAATGCTGGACCTGGTAACCATGGTAACAGTTATAACTTGTGAAAAGTGGGACTTGTAACATGTTTATCAATGATAGGTTTTCATATATGTTCTGAAGAATACAAATTGAGATGACAACTTAATGTTTTGGTGAGTGAGTGTTTCAGTTACATCAACTACCTGCTTCACAGGGGATAAAAGGCTGAAGGGATGCTGATATTACATGTTTACCACCAAGAGAGTGGTAATGGTGCTGACAAACCTAGAATAAGGGAGAACTGGGATCTGCACCCACGACACACCTTAAGGTTTAACTCTGCACAGTGAGTGAGTGAGTGAGTGACTTTTAACAGTATTCCAGTCATATCGTGGCGTGTCAGCTTAATATGGGAAAAAGCCCGGGTCTGCAGGTCTCAGACGTTTACCACTTCAGTGAAACCCACGAGCACGGGTATGGTGCTGACAAACCTAGGAACATAATCAGGGCGAACTGGGATTCGAACCCACAATCATAGGTTTCTGGCGTGCCCAAGGGACGCAACTCTGCACAGCGAATCACGGCGCCTTAGACGACTGGGCCACCCGTGCCCCCTAACTCTGCACAGCAAACTGCCCTCTGCCTATTACAAACTTTCAGCACCATGCCAGAAACATTATCAGGACAAATCTGGGTTTGAACGGGAGCAAGTCCCCACAGCAAATATATGTGCCTTAGACAACTGGTCACTTATGCCCCCTATAACCATTTGTGCAAAGCAAATAGATAGTCAAAAATACTTCTCAGTCTTGTAAACTAAAATTAGAGAAGTGTAACAACCATCCCTTTGCTATTTCATTGCATGCTGTTAGTGCCACCTTACCTTGAGGGGAATGGATGAGCCATAGTTGTATCTGTAGTTAGATGCCTCCTCCCGGGCCTGGTCCACCAGGTGGCGTGCATCAGAGAGAAGACCAGCCACAGCCTGCAATATATGTACCACCTCATCTTATATTTAGTGGAGGAAGGTTGGCTTAGGTTGTTGGTTATGTTACATCAACAAAACTAATAGTCAAGAGACACTGAAAATATATATGGCACTTGATTCACAGAAAATTAACACTGTGTTGGACCTGTGCTGAGTGAACACAATTCATTTGTGATGTGATCAGACCTATAGTAGTGAGTAGTGAGTAATGAGTATGGTTTTACGCTGCTTTTAGCAACTTCCAGCAATATCACAGGTGGACACCAGAAATGGGCTCCCCACATTGTACCACGTGGCGAATTGAACCTGGATTTTTGGTGTGATGGGTGAACGCTTCAACCACAAGGCTACCCCACGGCCCCGAACAAACCTAGTAGGTGAGGTTAAATGGGGTTTAACGTCGCATCAAGGATTATTCACTTATATAGCAACGTGTATGCAAATATGTGTGTGTGTGTGTGCTTGTACAAGTCCAGCTGATGCCAGTTTATAGTGCTAGCCCATTGAGATACCATGCCGCAATTTAACATGAATACCCCACTCAGACACAGTATACTGACTCCGAGCCAACCAGTCCTTGTTTTAGCCCCTTAATGCCGAGCACCAGTCATGACGCAGCTGGGGATCGAACCCAGCACCTTCCACCCTCCAGGCGAACGCTCTACCACTAGACCACGGAGGCGGTCAACAAACCTAGTAATGCTTTTGTAAAATATATGGGTTTGAAATAATAATGAATCTCCCAGCATGTGTCATTTCATCAAACATAAGACAAGTCATTGGCATTTCTATTTCAAAGAAATACATGATGAAATGATCTATAATCACAGAGCAAAAACAGCATCACCAGTTAACTCACCCCTCCTATATGTTTGTCAATATTGAAGATACGCTTGTTTGAACCTGGTTCATACAACTTTGATGTAACCAGCTTTTCCACACCAAATACAACACCGTCCTTGCCACGAATGCCTATTGCTGTCCTGTAAGCCAAACATGTACACATAAACTGTATATACATCAGAAAGCGTTATCATTAGTCTCTGAAAGGCATTTTAAATCTAGAACTTGATGTAACATGCATAGCCAATGTAATAATATGACATATAACATGAATGACAAATTAATTTTTTACACATACTTAACAGCAATTGGTATAGAACAGTTATATCCAAATGTGTCAGCTTTGTGTGAGAGGTGAGTCCAAAGTCATGCAGGTCTTAGACATTTACCACTTTTGTGAAACCCACAAGCACGGGTATGGTGCTGACAAACCAAGAGACATTATCAAAGGAAACCATGATCATAGGTTTCTGGCGTGCCCAAGGATGTAACTCTGCACAGCAAATGGCGGTGCCTTATATGACTGGGCCACCTGTTCCCTAGCGTTACACTGAAGTCTAATAGCGTGTCGCATACATACATGATACACTTGCACAATTTGAAATTTTGATTTTGACCCTATGTTAAGTGACCAAATTGTTCAGTCACTCACCCACTGTTTTCAACAGCTTTTTGAGCATATTCCACCTGGAAAACACGTCCATCAGGTGAAAACTGAGAAGCTGACAGGTCATACTGAAACATAAGATGTTACACTATAAGCTAAGCAGATACTATGTACATGGCAATTCAATAATATTTGATATTGTATCATGATTGTAGGTAATAGTGAGTGAGTGAGATTAGATTCATTACCAAGGTACCTGATTTACTGTCACCCAAACTGACTTAGGTACAAACTGGGGATTGTTCCCCTTTGCACAGTGTTAGCACTTTAATTAACTTTTAGGACTTTCTGGGACCCAACAGGTATGATAAAACAACAATTGGGTATCGATGTTGGATAGCCATTGATCAGGAGGCGACTTGGTTGATTTCATGTCATCATAACCAAATCATATGGATAGCGATGTAGATCTAACAAATGTTATATATGGGGAACACTTTCTTAGTTATGTACAAATTCTAGTACTTTTTTAGGATGAGTCCTATCCGGGATTACAACCCACACTCTCCCGAGTGAGGCACCCAATCACACAGTGCTGTATGTATCACTGTGTTATGGGTTTTTGGACGCTAAAGAAACATTGTGTAGTTTTCTTGCTAATCACAAGAACAACTGTAAAACATCTCACGCCACACCCCTTGTTATAGCATGAGTAATCACGATAAACATGGCCATCTGAAAAAGTATGATCTCTGAAAACCTATGATCTGACAATACAGTTTTTTTGTTTGGTGTTTAATGCTGCACTCAGCAAAATTCCAGCAATATGACGGCGGTCTTTAAATAATTGAGTCTGATAATAATCCAGTGATGGACATCATGAGCATCGATCCATGCAATTGGGATACAACGACAATACAGTAATTCACTGCATGCTGTTGCAATCAACAAGCCGGATATGGACTCATCTGCTGTTTGGAGTACCAGGTACAATTCTGTATTGCTTCTGGTTTGGGTACATTTCGAAAAGTAGCTGTGGTACACTCTCCAGTACCCATGCCGACAACGATCAATCTTTATTTGGGTTGTATATTCTGATTATTTGAGTGCATGCAGTTTTACAGGTTCTTGTTCATCCTACTTGAGACGTACTTCGATCTTTGTCATTCAACGGCGCTATTCGGAATGTATTAGCGTGTACAATTCGTTAGTTTACGATTCATTACATACAGACCCCTTACAAAGCAAGGGGTCTAAAAGTGCCTAAACGCTCCTTTGATTCATTTTGTTTCACAAACAATTCTTCAAATCTTGCAACTGAAAACATGCTTATACTTCAAAGGAACACAAAATATCACGCCATGAAACGGTGATACTTACACCTGTTCCAATGGAACTCATAGTTTACTTCGTTCTGTTAAGCCTAGTCGCCTCACTTCGCTAAGTCATGCAACCGATGAGATTTCTACGACGCATGCCCAAGCACCTGCTTCCGGATTGTAAAAGTTTAAGGTCGAGTCAGTATACGTCCCTTTCCCAGACCAGGCCACAGCGCTACGTTTATCGAGTGGTATACATCTTGCAAGGGACGCGACTCTTCCCATTAATTACTTGCGCTCAGTGCTACTGTCATGGCGGATCTGTTTACGCATTTGTTTACTGTCGAAGGTCGGCTTGTTGTTATATTAACGTACAGATCGCTAACTATAACTGCCAGGAAGTCTCTTAGGTGGGTTATGGTCGGTTTTATTGTGGTTGTGTCAACAGTGCGAATGCTAAATTTGTTTGCCACCAAGTATGATTAAAATCGATATGGCTCAAGACATATCTTTTAGTATCTTATGTTATCCACGCGTGCCTCTTAGATCCTTTGGGTTAGTTGTGTCAGATTTGTTTGTTTGTTGTTGTTTAACGAAGCACTCACCAATATTTCAACTCAACTAAATGACGGCGGTCTGTAAATAATCGAGTTTGCTCATGTATTGTCATTTTAGCCATTAATAATAAGCGGCACTGCTTTTCAACCAAACCTTGTGAAATCATTTTATACCACCCGTTATTATTTTTTGTGTATCATGCACAATGTTAGACAAAAGGATGTGTTGAAAGTCTCTATGTTCTAACACTCATATGTTGAGTTTGTGTTCTGTTTCCAAAATAGAAAACACTACCATTTAACACTGCAAATTAGGGCTGGGACGGGTGACTCGGGTACTCGAGTCTTGTGGGCCCTGAATAGGACCCGGGTACCCACAGGACTACCCAGACCCGTGGTTAGTCACGTTATATTTTGTTTAAAGACAAAAACATACTATAGCTCAATGGTTACACTACAAGTCGCTAATGTTAAGATTATTTTCTGACGATGCACTCATTCCTTTTGACTTGTAAATGTTTGAGTAAAAATAAAGCTTCAGTCAACTTCAGTGTATGCATGATCTGATTGTTTGATACATGTATCTGAATAGCTTTAGCCAGGGCTGCGGTAAAACAATTACCAATCTGACATTTTGTTCCCTACTCTTGAGACTTACAGTGGGTACCCGGGTAATAGGGGATCGGGTAACCGGGTAGTAAATTTGAACTCGTCCCAGCCCTACTGTAAATATATCACAAAATAAATGCTTCAATAACTGCAAACTGTGAAAAGTTTTATTGTGGTATGGTACTTAGTTTTAAGTCTTAATTTCATTCCATCTGTGCTTTAAACTTAAATTTACAAATAAAGCGTGTGTGACAGTGTTAATGCACTTTTACACTTCCCAATACAAGGAATAAAATCTGGTATTCAAGTTTCAGTGAATGTTACTTTTGTTAGAAATACAGTCAAAATCAATTGGGTTTCTGTCACTTGCAGAACTACAACAATGGATCATCTCAAGCATGACAAGTACATCCTTAATATCAGAACTCAGCTATTTATCATATCTAGCTTGTGACAATTTTAACATGATATTCTCGTTTCACATTTGTCAACTGAATAATGTGTTATAGTTCACAAGAAAATTAAGTTAGCCAGTCAGGCAACCTTAATGTTATTTCCATGAGCCCTGCTTGAAATTAATGGTTTCTTAACCATAAAAGGTCGGGGATTTAATCTTTCCGAGGACATTTTCTAGTGTGACTTATAACTTGAAAACTACAGCATAGATTCTTCTCAAACTTTGTGTATTAATAGGACAGGTGCTGTGTGAGGTTTGATTTCAATTTTTGGATTTTCTGAAAAAATACAGCTGTTTTTCATTGGGTTACTTATATTTTTTCTACTTAAACATTTTAAGCACTGCATGCATTCTTTTGAAATTTAGGGAACAGTTTCCATACTAAAATAGAGGAGGTGCAGTGCACAGTTTGATAAGTGGAATTTCTCAGAAAATATACCGGTATCTTGTTTCATGTTTTCAACTTAGAAATATTTTTATACCCCTGACCTAAAAGCTTCAAAAGGGCAGCGCATCATATTTAGGACATAAACATACTGTGTTTTCAATGTAGAGCTAGGTTACCTGTAGATTTAACCATGCTAAATTGAATTTGGAACCAAAAGCGCAGCATGAGGTTTCAAATATTAAATCTCCATTCTACCACGACTAAATAAAATGCCAACTCTTTTGTAATACAAAAATATATTGAGTGAAGTGGCATGGGTTGAGTCCAGTATTTTGAGTGGGTTGTTGATCTGAATTTACGGAATCCCTGACAACAGCCTGTAAACACAATATGGTGCTCTATATGTCCAGCAGTTCCTTTACACTGTAATACTTCACACAAACTTATCATACCTTATCATATTGCTTGTCTATTGAATGTAGGAAGTAATCGTCGCTACCTCCACAACTGTTGTAATATATTTATTATTTTTACTATGTATGACTCCTACTGGTCACTCTACACATTAATATATCAAAGAAACATCCCTGTGTGTTTTCCAATATCAATTAAACGGGAGACGAACACTGGTCGCGGAAATGGACAACTACAGACTTTTCATATTGCTTGTATGTAGCACGTGGGTAAAAAATCGTCGCTACCTCCACAACTGTTGTAATATATTTATTAATTTTACTATTTATGACTCCTACTGGTCACTCTACACATTAATATATCAAAGAAACATCCCTGTGTGTTTTCCAATATCAATTAAACAGGAGACGAACACTGGTCGCGGAAATGGACAACTACAGACTTTTCATATTGCTTGTATGTAGCGCGTGGGTAAAAAATCGTCGCTACCTCCACAACTGTTGAAATATAATGATTATTTTTACTATTTATGACTCCTACTGGTCAGTATACACATTATTATAAAAAAGAACCATCGCTGTGTGTTTTCCAATATCAATTAAACAGGAGACGAACACTGGTCGCGGAAAGGGACAACTACAGACTTTTCATATTGATTGGATATGGCGCGTGGGTAAATAGTGGTCACTACGTCCACAGCTGTTGTAATATATTTATTATTTTTACTATGTATGACTCCTACTGGACCGTCTACACATTATTATATAAAAGAAACATCCCTGTGTGTTTTCCAATATCAATTAAACGGGAGACGAACATTGGTCGCGGAAAGGGACAACTGCAGACTTTTCACATTGCTTGTCTATTCAGTGTAGGAAATAATCGTCGCTACCTCCACAACTGTTGTAATATTTTTATTATTTTTACTATGTATGACTCCTACTGGACCGTCTACACATTATTATGTAAAAGAAACATCCCTGTGTGTTTTCCAATATCAATTAAACAGGAGACGAACACTGGTCGCGGAAAGGGACAACTACATACTTTTCACATTGCTTGTCTATTCAGTGTAGGAAGTAATCGTCACTACCTCCAGAACTGTTGTAATATATTTATTATTTTTACTATGTATGACTCCTACTGGTCACTCTACACATTATTATATCAAAGAAACATCCATGTGTGTTTTCCAATATCAATTAAACGGGAGACGAACAGTGGTCGCGGAAAGGGACAACTACAGACTTTTCATATTGCTTGCTTATAGCATGTGGGTAAATAGTGGTCACTACCTCTACAACTGTTGAAACATAATGATATGACTCCTACTGGTCACTCTACACATTATTATACAAAAGAAAGATCCCTGTGTGTTTTCCAATATCAATTAAACAGGAGACGAACACTGGTCGCGGAAAGGGACAACTACAGACTTTTCATATTGATTGGATATGGCGCGTGGGTAAATAGTGGTCACTACGTCCACAGCTGTTGTAATATATTTATTATTTTTACTATGTATGACTCCTACTGGACCGTCTACACATTATTGTACAAACGAAACATCCCTGTGTGTTTTCCAATATCAATTAAACAGGAGACGAACACTGGTCGCGGAAAGGGACAACTACAGACTTTTCACATTGCTTGTCTTTTCAGTGTAGGAAATAATCGTCGCTACCTCCACAACTGTTGTAATATTTTTATTATTTTTACTATGTATGACTCCTACTGGACCGTCTACACATTATTATGTAAAAGAAACATCCCTGTGTGTTTTCCAATATCAATTAAACGGGAGACGAACACTGGTCGCGGAAAGGGACAACTACAGACTTTTCACATTGCTTGTCTATTCAGTGTAGGAAGTAATCGTCACTACCTCCAGAACTGTTGTAATATATTTATTATTTTTACTATGTATGACTCCTACTGGTCACTCTACACATTATTATATCAAAGAAACATCCCTGTGTGTTTTCCAATATCAATTAAACGGGAGACGAACACTGGTCGCGGAAAGGGACAACTACAGACTTTTCATATTGCTTGCTTATAGCATGTGGGTAAATAGTGGTCACTACCTCCACAACTGTTGAAACATAATGATATGACTCCTACTGGACCGTCTACACATTATTATATAAAAGAAAGATCGCTGTGTGTTTTCCAATATCAATTAAACAGGAGACGAACACTGGTCGCGGAAAGGGACAACTACAGACTTTTCATATTGATTGGATATGGCGCGTGGGTAAATAGTGGTCACTACGTCCACAGCTGTTGTAATATATTTATTATTTTTACTATGTATGACTCCTACTGGACCGTCTACACATTATTATGTAAAAGAAACATCCCTGTGTGTTTTCCAATATCAATTAAACAGGAGACGAACACTGGTCGCGGAAAGGGATAACTACAGACTTTTCATATTGATTGTCTGTTGAGTGTAGGAAGTAATCGTCGCTACCTCCAGAACTGTTGTAATATATTTATTATTTTTACTATGTATGACTCCTACTGGTCACTCTACACATTATTATATCAAAGAAACATCCATGTGTGTTTTCCAATATCAATTAAACGGGAGACGAACAGTGGTCGCGGAAAGGGACAACTACAGACTTTTCATATTGCTTGCTTATAGCATGTGGGTAAATAGTGGTCACTACCTCTACAACTGTTGAAACATAATGATATGACTCCTACTGGTCACTCTACACATTATTATACAAAAGAAAGATCCCTGTGTGTTT